AACAATAAAAAGCGTCGCGACGTTGTTTGTGTGAACGAAGCAGGAAGGCCAGTAGAGAGGTCGTTTTATTCGAATTTTGGTCACCGCCGCTGCTTTGTTAGAGTCCTTCCTGAGACTACACGGTGAGTTTTCTTGCACACTCGAATGCACTTATGCCCCCAAGTAACGTCAGCGAGCGCTCACGCGGCTCTTCTTAACTTCACTGCCTTGTTAGTTACACTCGAAACGAGGTACAGTGAGCCTCAAACTTAACGCCGCCACGGCATTTGCCGTATCTGACAGTCCCTGCGGCGGCCGATTGAATTACCGGAAGAATGTTTAGGGTTCTGGTTTCTATCCCATCCTGAGAAGGCATCCCGAACGTTTCAGTGACTAATTTAATTGTAAGTAGCCGACACTAGCTCAATATTCGGGAACCCAGTGGCGCCGTTATGTTTGGGGTGCACTGCACACGCTCTGGATGTATCACACAAAAAAATTTTGAGCAGCTATTTCCACAAAACTGTACTAATGTGTTACAGCGAAAACTGTAATTTAAAGTCTATAAACATTATCTCGGACTTGTCATTCACTGTAGATTACAGGGATTGTCTCTTGAACGTGATTAGTTGATAAGTAAACACTCAGGTGGTTTTAGGGGGCGGGGGGGGGGGGGGAATCTCTTGGTTTTGCTGGTTGCCGTTCTTCACGTGGCCAAAAAAAACGTGACCTATTTGAAGGAACGCCGAAGCGTCCCTAGTAGGACCATGATATATCTACGCTCTACCAAAGCTGGTGACACTAGGCAACATGGATATCTTCTCACGCTTAGGTGTCAAAATGTAGCAAAGTGTCGAAAGAGAGCGCAAAAGGTTTCTAAGTGCTGTTTCAGTCTGCACCACATATTCCATATTACGTACTTTACGCTCAAGTAAATACATGACATTCGACGCGTGACATGTCGAACGTTCTTTCGTTTTTATTAAAAGCTGCGAATTTTCGCTGCTAGCCGTGCTCGTTTGTTGCATTTTTTTACAGACCATGGCACTGCGATTTCATGCAGGGCTTGCACTCGTTATGTGGGAGTGATAAATTTAGCTGGAAGTTTACAAGCGTACCTCTAAAATTGTGTGATCGTCTACGTACTACAAAAGGAGCGGATGGAAAAGTACGGTTAAAACGTTTGCTTTGTTATAGAATTGTGCAGTGCCGTCTTAAGATGTTATTAACACTAGAATAATTCGTAATATCTGTCAGGCATAAATTGATGCGTTGCGTGTCGCGTTGCGGGGGGCGTTTATTAATCAGGTCCGCGCGGTTCAACTGCTTAGATTTCTAAACTGCATCGTCAATAACACTTGGTGGATAACATTGTTTATCCAATACGGCCTTTAGATTTTGTGTTCTAGCATTAAAATCCCTCTAGATGGAGAAACTAATTTTAAAACGATGGGCTTGGCTATAAGAGATGCTGTTTTTACAATGACGTGGATGATTTCTTCGGTAATGGACGTGTTGTTGTCGGTCGGTTGGTTTACGGTACAAATTTGTTGAGAGTTTGCACTCTTCTATTTTTACAAAGACGTCCAAGAAGTCAATATCGGTTTGATAGTACGTGCGGGTAAAACAAATGTTCGGATGAGCAGTATTACAATGATTTTCAAATTTCAGCAGCTTCGCCTCGTTATCTCTATACAGGCAAAACGCCATATACAAATATTTTGTATATTCCTGGCTTTAGGGGGTCATCTGGAAAGATATTCTGACTCTAGTTTTCAAATAAATATGTGAACATAACTGGACGCCATCTTCGTGCGCATCGCGGTTCTGCTAACCTACCTAAAGTATTCAATATTAAATTGAAATGTAATGAGTTCTAGGACAAGCCTCGTTAAGGTACAAACTACATGTTTATAAGTGTTGTCTTGGTCTTTTAAGTATGTTGAATATGCTAGTTACAGAACTTATTCCATCGTCATGTAAATTATTTACATATCGCGAATAAGTGTGTATAAATTTTAAAGAAAAGTTTTGCATGAAAAAACTTTGTTAGTAGTTTAGTAGCGAGGATATCCGACTGACCCCCACTCATGCACAGCCCGGGCTCGAACTTTGTGTTTTCTTTATTTAATACTTTAAAGCCTGTAACGGTCGCAGTGTGCCACTCGCTCGTGACGGTCAATATGACGGTCAATATGACGGTCGTTGTGACGCTCATTCATGACGATAGTCCCATCGGAAACGACCAGCAAACCACATTCTGTGTTAAATTTTTCTTGAAGTGTCAGTCTCACCCCTATATCCTGTTTTGAATTTATCTAGGTATAAGAAAGCAAATCGAACTCTGTGAATCCCCAGTTCACTCGGTCTGCTCTTTAGATATGGCAACCTTGCTTCAACACTGTACGATCCCTGACCTGTTCTTTTTTTCTTTACGTACCCTAATTCAACGGGGCAATTTAAGTCAGGGACATGTTAAGAATAACCCAAATAAACACCACCGCGTGCCATCCACGAAAATATGTCGCTCCGAGGAACAACCAAGAAATGCAGTAGCCGTGACGAGTAATGCTGCCTCTACGAGGAGTGCCCCTGCATAGCGCACTATTTGTGTATCAAGGAGGAAAAGTGATTGGTGATAATGAAGGTGCGAAAGGAGCTTCTGGTGCATTGTTAAAGGAGCGATGTAACATGTTTCGTACTTAAACTAAATACCTCTTGGAATTCGTCCTTGACGTTCATAACCTTAAGACAGGCGTTGGATGATTTTTTTTTTTCACGCAGTGGGCAGTTTCAGAAACGAATTCGAGAAAAACGAACAGCCTTTACCACCTCAACTTTTATCTTTACTGCCTCAACTTCAAACAAATTAAGTGAATGATTTACTATCAATGGCGAAACACGTTCTATTGCAACCTGAAGAACCAGCGACTTTTCAAAAAGAAAAAAAAAGGTGGCAGCCGTCACGAAGGAACAAGTTTCTTGGCGTTGCTTCAGTGACGAGAGGTGGGAGAATCTTAGAGGGTATCTAACTTTGTTGAGGAACACCTCCTCAATGTAAATACACAGGGCATTTACACATCAGGTTTTACTGAACCTCAAAATACAGTCTGATATACACCTCGTGACAAAGTTACCAACGCACCGTTGATGTTTCCTGTTTTACTCTCAAAGAACTGAAAGTTAGTCGTCAAAAGTGCATCCCAAGGAAATCACCTTCTTCCGAGGGTCCGAAAGAACGCGATTTTGAAGAGGACGATGAAGAAGAAAATAGAAAAAGCCACCTTATTTTTGTCGCCAAATGAGAAGGACGAAGTGGCATAAAATTGTTGCTATTCCAGTAGTGTAGACTATATTTTTTTTGTGTGTGTTCATCTTTTTTTTGTTCAGCTCGTAATTCTAATAATTATGTATCATCTTGCTCAGCTTCACCCCGTAGCAATGTCAAAACGACTACAGCCCTTGGCAGCGCAGCTCTCTGGTTCATTTGTCCGGAAATTTGGATCCTAAAAGCCGAAAATACCAGATACATTTTTGACCAGAGTCTCATCACTCCGGCACTTAATTTTCAAGCAAGTGCCAGAGTGAAGCTTCACTGTCTGGCTGTTCAGTTTTCACCCGGCAACTTTCGTGCCTATATTTCCAAACAAGCGTCAAATTTAGGATACAATTCGAGTTGTAACTTGTATGGCTTTTATGTAACATTTCTGGCTCATGTCTGGCTCTTGGCAATAATGTGACGAACGAAAAAAAAGACGTAGAAAAGTCAAAGATATGTACTATCGCACTATGGGTGCGCCTTGGAGAAAAGCCTTATTAGGCTCAAGTTAGGATTGGCAAATTTGGGACAAGTCAGGCCTTTATCTGGCGTACTGACTTGTGTGGTGTAAATTGCTCGTTCAGAGACCGCACCTGAGCCAAGAAATGCAGTACACCCCAGCATTCTTTCTACGTAAAATTAAAAAAAAAAATTCCCAGGATTTTGTTTGCGCTCTTTCATAATACCTTCTACACTTCCTAAAAACCAGCCAATAATCTAACTGCGGATAATGATAAGATGCTTCCACGCTATTGAGGGAAAACGAGAGTATTCGTACTGCGCGCCAATTGCCTATCTGGTTCTATTAAACTCATATCTGCTATTTCTGTAGTCTACCTGCAGTACCTAGAAATGATCTCTGCGTAGTCGTCGTCATCTTAAAAAGTGCAACTTCTGGTAGGAGAAAACACCATTTTGTCATCGCCACGCGAATGAAAGGTGTTCAAATTTTGATTGCGGCTGTCAATGCTTCTCCTTCTGCGTCTTCGATTTCCTTCTTTTTTTTTCACTTAATCCAGGCTGTAATGTCTTGCTTTCTTTTTTGCGTCGCCAATACCGGATGCGTTACCTACGTGTTTGAAGACGAGGGTAACCAGAAAAGATATATACGCGGGGTTCTTTTGTTAAAAACAAATACATCATAGGTCTGTATTTTCTTTTTTTCCCGTTTCGCACGATTTTCGGCTGTTCTTTTTTATTGCTTTTGTGCATGCATTCCGGGCTTTAGGATGTGATAGCCAAAGCTTGCACTAACCAGAAACCAGTATGCTGGGACGCTCGTCCTCGAGTCAAAACGCGTTACACCGAATGGCCACAAGCGTTGCTAAAGCGTTCAACATGACATGCTTCCTTATCCGGCGCCTCGACATTTTTGTACGGTGACAAAGCGCCACACACCTCTCAGACAAGCACGTTAAAGGTGTTAAAGGTGCTAGAGAATCGACGAACCAGTGCAGGCCGTGGCTCGTCCATCATGGAACGCTAATATGCCGCTTTTATGGTCGCGTCCTACGGCATTGCAGACGACAAAAGACGGGGATGAAATGACAGACGATGCCGTAGGCTGCCGCGTGTCTGCTCGCGCAACTAGCAAGCAAGTCAGAAGTCAGACTATGATGCCTAGAGCGTGTCTCTGACCGGTGTGCAAACCTATAAAGGAGTTTATTTTTGAGACCATTAACGTATTCGCCCGACAGGGGTTTCAGACTGACGGTTCAACACCGTCTGCTTTCGGTCCCAGAGGATGAGGGAGAGAGACCGACCCGCCGCCCAGATCATCGATGGCCACCGCTTGCCGGGATCCTTCTCAGAAGAGGTCTACCGGAGCGGCCTCCGCTACCAGCCGGAGGAAAGCGACATCATCTTGGTCACCTTTCCCAAGTGCGGTACTCACTGGGTGCTGGAAATCGTCAAGACGTGCTTCCGAGTCTGCAGGGGCGTCACGCCGGGATGAAGCTTTCTTGAGATGAATGGTCTAGAAGGCATTCTCAAGGCCCAGAGACCGCGAGTCATCTTCACTCACCTGCCCTTTCACTTGGCAACTTTCTCGCCTTCCACTAAGTACATATACGTGGCCAGGAACCCTAAAGACTGTTGCGTGTCTTTTTACCATCACACGAAGGCAATTCCCAGTTACTGTTTCCAAGATGGAAATTTTCACGAGTATTTTGAGCTTTTCGTCGAGGGCCTCACAGACTTCGGCAGCTACTATGAGAACCTACTATCTTGGTACGCAAAGAAAGACGAGCCGAACGTCCTGTTTCTCACATACGAATCGATTCATGCTGACACAAAGAAATCGGTTCTCAAGATCGCTGGTTTCCTGGACGACCAACTCGCTAAGGAGCTTGCGGAAGACGAAGCAAAAATGACGGCTGTAGTTGATGGTACGAGCGTGGCAAAGATGAAAAAGGATTGGGAAGTACAGTTCGTGAGGAAGGGCGTTGTTGGAGACTGGAGGAATTACTTTTCGGTAGAACAGTCACGGCGATTGGAGGAAAGGTTCTTCAAGGAAATGGAGGGCACTTCTGTGCCAAGGCTTTGGGATGGCGTGGACTGGCTTCTGGACCGCAAGGAAGTTGTTTAATGTTTATGACCCGGTAGCGTGCTCGAGCAGGAGTACTAATGGTCCTGTCCCCACTTGCGCACCAATAAACACATTTCCTGTTGTAATGTCAGTATAATAGTCATAATATTAAGAAGAACACAATAATGAGAATAATATTATAGTCACATACAATTTCTGAAACGCGGGGCGTGGCCAGTCCAGAGTATCCTATTGTCGCATCGTAACCAATAAGACTGCTCTAACATATGAAAGCAGAAGAACTAAGCAAGAAACGCGAAGGGTCACCCCGCGCATTTTTTAAGATCTCAGTGAATGCAGTTCACACTAAATTCGTATGTGTGGATTCTGTTTTGTCGGACAAATAAAACAAAAAAAAAGTATTTTGACCCACGATGTTCTCGAGTGGTGTTTTAGTTCACAAGCTTTAGTAATCAGCGCTGTAAACCTTACATGTTTCTTACTACCTACTTCGTCGGAGGTCCGTAGACGTTCTCAATTCAAAGCTAAATTGTTTCTAACATACCTTTCCTAACATTTTGACGGTGCAGGCGAGCCTTCCCGATATCGAGACCACCCAGATTTCATTCCATCCGAGTTCGATTACACGGCCCCGGGCACGACGATGACCAGTGCACTCGCGCGGTACACAGAACGGCGAACTGACGGAACGCAATCAACTTAAATAACTTAGGCGCTCTAGGAGAGCGTAATTAGCTATTTGTAGTGGCCTGACCTCAGACGGAGCCTACGAATTCCTCTCAAGGTGGATAAGTTGCGTCAGGATGGAAACTGCTCACCATTACTTTTCTTACATAGCATTGCCTTGAAAGCCGGCCTTTTTTTATTCAGTCGCTTGCATGACGCGACACCCAAATGACGATTGAGTGACTCCGAGTCGACGGTAGGAACCGATGCCGCGTCGGAGGTCTATCCATCTTTCAAGGTATAAAGACGAACGTGGTCGTCTGTATCGTAGACAGTGGCTTTTGTAATCCTTCAAGATTGTCCTCAGGCATTTAAAAAAAAAAAGATACACGCGAAGTGACGACAAAATTACACATTCAGGATGGTGAAAGACGAAACAACGCCACCAGAGAACACACGTAAACACGCGGATCGGGGGACACGACAAGCCATGGCGCAGACGAAGGAGCCCCCAAAAGTGTTTCGAGCGATTCCCGCGAGGGCGAGTCAAGATCCTGGCCAAACTCACAAAAAGGCCCATTATAATGAATTTTATAACAGTGGCTATCCTCCCGGGGATAAAGAGAAACTATTTCCAAAGTGTAGAATTCCTCTTGCTCAAGTAGGCGGTGCTTGATCAAACGGCTTCGATGAAATGGTGTTCAAGGAAATGGCGTTCGATGCAACGGCGTTCGATAAAACAACTTCGATAAAACTGTGTTCGATCAAATGTCCCGACCAACCCTGACATCCGGCATCCCACCCCCAAGCAAAAAAAAAAAGAAGAACTTACGAAATGTTTGGATCTGGGAAAATCTGGTGACACGCGTAACACAAAAAAGCAACGGTCGCGAGCAGGCAATACCTTCAAACAAACTCTCTTTGTTCGTTTTTCTTTTTTGTCTACTTACCTCAGGCTCTCTTTTAAGTTTACTTATTTTCTATTACTTCTAATTTCGTTTCGAATGTTCGACCTTCCGACGAAAACCCTGAACTGCAACCCCTGTTTCGGAATCTTCGACCGCGATCAACCTTGGTGACCTTGTACGGGTCGCACGCGTAAAACAACAGTGGCAAACCGGCGTAACTTTTAGACTCTCCTTTTTTTTTTGTTCTTGTTTTTTCTCCGCATCACTTAGGAACTTTGCAAAGGGAACCTGCCCACTCGTCACAATCCTAATCGTCCCAGGAGAACTCGTCATAGGCCAACTGGTCACACGGGCCTTCTGTTTCTAGCTCATTTCGTCACCGGAACACTCGTCGGACCGTATTTCCATAAGACCGCAGTCGCCCATAATTTTTCTAAAAGCACCGAACTCCTTTCTTTCAGTCTTTTGTTTGCTTTGACATTTCAAGCCCGAATTTTTTATAATGTTATTAGGACTGCATACTGGCCGCGTATGCCGCCCGGAAAAGGAAAAGACTCGTTGTAGGTTCTCGTCTTTGCAAGTACACCGTCAAGGAATGGAAGTCAGGAAAAGTCAGGATGGTGCACCGATGCTACCCTACCAAGAATAGTCGTACACTATTAGCAGAAATCGCAGTTCCAGCATGTATTGAATATGTAGGGATAGAAAACTCCGCAAGGCGAAACTAGCAACCGATGAGTCCATAAATATTGTGATGGTCGGGACTGGAACGCATACTCATGCCAGGGATCTCTGTGAAGTTATTCTTCTGAAGACGCGCCAGGACATAAAAAGAAAAGCCGGTAAGATGTTGTGGTAATTTATCTTTTTAGGTTGGAGAGCAAAATTGGCGAAGTTTTACACTTTTGTTATAATTTCTTTTTATCTAGTTATATATTTTATTTAACACTAGGAAAGTACAGCGATCATTCTTAATATATAAACCAAACTGCAGGGGAGAGGGGTTTGCACCCAAAATGGAGAACTTGCCACCTAGCGGCGTGGAAAAATGAGAGAGGTTCTACATATATCGTTTACAATAAGCCTGTTTTATTTGTTTCATACTCAGCTCTAGCTATTTTCACGATAAGTAACTATTAGCTATTGCTCATATTTATACATTCTGAGAAATGGGTATTATATAAAGTATTAACACACACACACCTATTTTGTAGTTCCTGTTTCACAGTATAAAAAAGAAGTGCAAATATAGATTGAGTTGTGAGTCAGCGCTGTGTGTTCTGTCTGCTGCGATTGTGTCACCATCTGTGATTCTTTTTGTGGCCTGTGGTGACTTGTGTACGTGTGTAATTCCATACTTGCTCTGCTATTTTGAGACTTTTTACCTGCTAAATTTAGCGGGCAATCTTTTCCGCTAAATTTAGTGAAGAATTTTATCCACTAAAGTTAGCGGGAAATTGTTTTCGCTAAATTTAGCCGCGAAAATTGCCCGATATCTTTTGCGAATAAATGTTCCTGCTAAATTTGGCGGAAAAATTTCCCCGATGAATTTAGCGAGTAATTTTTTTGCTAAATTTAACGGGAAAATTTTTCTGCTACCTTTAGTGCGAGAAATTTTATATTAACCTTAGCGGGGAATTTGTTCCGCTAAATTTAATGGGGAAATTTTCCCGCTAAATTTAGCTCCGGTAAATTTAGTAAAAACGTTTTTCCGCTAAATGTAGCGGAGAAATTTTTCCGCTGAAGTTAGCTGGAAAATTTTTCCGGTAATTCTTGCGGGGAATTTTTCCGCTAACTTTAGTGGGAAAATTGTTTCGGTATATTTAGCAGCAACCTTTTTACGCTAAGTTTAGCGGGGAAGTTTTCCGCTATATTTAGCGGAAAAAATTCACTCCTCTGACTTCTCCTTCCCCCTCGTGCCCTGGTGACGTCACTCGTGACCCTCCTGACGTAACACGTGATCTCACGTGTGTCGTCATTAAGGGAAACGTCCCATGATGCAACGCGCGGTTACACCGTCAACGATGCCGCTCACGTCGGATACGGGCGCCTAAGAGCTGCGCTCTTGAAAATCAAATGGGGGCACTTCGAGGTGTCGGTGTTATGCCTGAGTCACCACATATCCCGAAGAAGTTTCTTCAAGTCCGCCCATCCGCCCTTCCAACTCGCCTATACTAGACATGTAAGCGGCTAAAAAAAAACATTAGGAATTTCGGGAAAAAAAAAACTGTTTGATTTTCGTGTTTTTTCAACCAGGATAAAATTGCAAAAAAAAAAAAAAAAAACTGAGCTCACAAATTGTGAACCGCTGCTGCGCGCCACCGGGGAGGATGTGGCGCCATCTGGCGGTGGCGTAAGAAGCACAGTATTGCTCCGCCCCCGCGACGGAACTTGGCGAAGAAGGCGGCGAGAAATTCGGCGGCCGTGATTGGCCAACGCTGCATTCACCTCGTCGTAGGCCAATCATAGCCTTCGGATTTCCCGCCAACTTCTTCGCCAAGTGTCCGCACCAGATCTCGGAAGCCGTGCCAGTGCAAGGAAGAATACAGCCAGGGTTGCCGGGTTGGGCTATAAATAGCCAAATTGGGCTAGTATTATTTGAAGTTGGCGGGAAAAAATGGTAGTTGGCTATTTGGCTAGTATTGGGCTATTTCTGACCTGTGCATTGGGCTATTTCTGACCTGTGCATTGGGCGATTCCTGACCTGTGCTGGAACCAAAATGCCTGAAAGCACTTGGGTTTATAGGTTCGAATGTATGTTTTAGAGCAAGTTACGTGAACATTTGGCGCTTCAGTCCCTTAACCCTGATAAGTTTGCGACAGCAAACAAATTCGTCGTCTTTTTGCGCGCCTTGTGCAATAGTTTACCTCCGAATTTTGTCCGGATGCAAGCATGTGCTGTTATTCCTCCATCTCAACAAGTGACGGCGCGATTCCTTGCGGCCTTAAAAGCACCTGTTCTGCGCATACTTTAGGTTGTCTGTTGATTGGCGTGCACCTATACTTTGTGTTAAATTCTGCATAGTTTTCCCGTGACATCATTCTGGTCACCATGCCCCGATAGTAAGCATCCCAATACAGTGGAACGTATGTTGTCATGCGCTTGTACGAGCGTTTCAGAAAGTTCGCCGAACGTGCAAGGGACGCCATTTCTGGGGCATTTGATGGATAAAAATGTATTGTCTGTATTTTCTGCTCAAAATAAACGTTTCAAATGATAAATTTTTTTGGGCTATTTTTCTGGATCGACATTTGGCTATTTTTGGGCTATATCTCGTAGACGTTTGGCGGGTTGGAGTTCAAGCACCTGGCAACCCTGAATACAGCAGCAGTACTTCACCGTCCGCTATGGTACGTCCGCGGTCTAACGTTTGGAAGCATTTGAACGTGTGTTACTCTTTGTGTTTGTCCTTTGTCCCTGTTGTTCCCCTTCTCCAGGGATTATTTTCGTCATCAGTGTGTTACTCGCCTGCGGGGAAAAAGGTGCAAGCATTCTGCAAGTACTGTGATGTGTCGCATGGTTTCCGCAATGCCTTACGAAACATCTATTGCCCTG